TAAACCCTAAACCCCAAAAACCCCCATCCCTAAACCCTAAACCCTAACAGCCCCAATCCCTAAACCCTAAACCCTAAACCCAAAAACTGCCCGACGCAACTCAGGTCTGGGCTTCAAGTGCTTCCTGGCCTGCTTGAGAGAAGCAGGGTTTTTTTCGGATCCAGGATGAGTGGTTTAGGGTTTAGGTCTGGGGTCCAGGATGAGAGGTTTAGGGTTTAGGGTTTAGGTCTGGGGTTTCGGGATTTAGGGTTTCGGGTTTGGGTATGGGGGTTTCGGGATTTAGGGTGGGTGTTTTTGGGGTTTCGGGGCTTTTGGTTTCATGGGGCGTAGTCGTGGGTGTCAATCTGTTGATTTTAACACGAACGCTAGAAGGAGGGGGCCAAGCAAGCTTGCTTTTGCAGCTTTTTGCAGTTTGGAGCGTGAAACCCTAAAATGTCCAAGTACGATGATTATATGCCCCTTGGGCTCAGATACCAAATAACAATCAGAAATATACTCCCAAAGCGTGTCAAGCTACATATACGACTACATGTGCCTGAGTACCTTCCTCCGCCCTCCAAAGTACCAGTATCCGTCATTATCCCCTCAACCAAAAGGCCTGAAAGCTTAAGCCCTAAACCTTAAACCCTAAACCCTAGTCGTGGCCACCTTGAGACGCCAGGCCTTACAACGAGATCTTCGGCAAAACCCGGAGCGAGGAGGAGATGATCGTGTAAGTTTAGGGTTTACCTATAGTCTCCATTGTAGTTCCTTTTTAACCAATTATATATATGAAGGATTTTATAAGGTATCCCCAAAAAGGAACTACAATGGAGACTATAGGTAGGGATTAGGGCTGCTTCGGGTCGGTTTTTGTTTGTTTTTAAGGATTGGTTGAAGGGTTTCGGCTTCTTCATCGCGTTTATACGGGTTCTGTGTTTAGAAGTTGAGAGTTTGGGCTTTATGTTTTGGGTTTCAGGGTTTTGGTTGTTGGGTGAGGGCAACTTGGAAGCCAGGCAACTATTCGTTGAAGCCTTGAGCCGTCTTCCCACGCCCCCTGACACCCTGTAGCCGGATGGCCTAAGCTTCGGATTGCACTCACTTGCTGTACCCTTGTTTCTAGATATAGTTCCTGCTGTCGGTCTGTGGGTGGTCTGAACCTGGAGTTGTTTGTTCCGGCATGAAAAAGCTGCGCCCTGGATCCTAAGCAGCTCGCCAACAAACCTCTAAAGCCCTAAACCCTAAACCCTAAACTCTCGAGGAGGAAGAGGGCAAGCCTGCTGCGGCACAGGCCATTGGGGGAGGATTTAGGGCGCTGCGGTTCGAAGGATGGCTTACAGGATTCACGCTTT